CTGCTGAAATACACTGCCTCCTTGTGCCCACATATGCTGCTCGGTCTTCATAAACATTTAGCAACCATTGATGAATGTCTGCATCAATGGGTGCATTTTTTTTTTCTGTGTGAAGGTATTCAGTGACACGCTTCTGCTACATATACACTTCCGTGCCAGATGCTGTTTTATCATGCTGCCCCATGCTGCCATCGATTGCATAGCAGAAATATGTTGTAGGCCAACATAACGAAATAGGAGGCATTACTTTTGAAGCAGTCCTCCTCCTTGTTTGTTGTGTCCTCCTTCCTGTTGAAGTCCCTCCTTCAGTTATCTCAATCATCTGTGCTTCCCTAACTTTATTGCACAGAAAATAAACTTCATGGGTTGTCATTGATGATACTGAACTGGAAACTCATTCCTGTTCTTGCATGTGCTCTATTTGCATTCATGATCATTTAAAATAAGGTACTTTCTTTGATCTGAAACTAAAACTGAGGAGTCTTTTCATCAATATCTGACACCATCACAATAACATCATTTCTATAGTGTAGAATCACAGAATCACAGAATCACCAAGGTTGGAAAAGACCTTCAAGATCATCCAGTCCAACCATCCACCTATCACCAATAGTACTGACTAAACCATGTCCCTCAACACAAAATCCAAATGTTCCTTGAACACCTCCAGGATTGGTGACTCGACCACCTCCCTGGGCAGCCCATTCCAGTGCTTGACCACTCTTTCAGAAAAGTACTATTTCTTAACGTCCAGCCTAAATCTCCTCTGGCGCAGCTTGAAGCCATTCCCTCTAGTTCTACCACTAGTTATACGAGAGAAGAGGCCGAATCCCAGCTCAGTACAACCTCCCTTCAGGTAGTTATAGAGAGCAATACGGTCTCCTCTGAGCCTCCTCTTCTCCCGACTGAACAATCCCAGCTCCCTCAGCCGCCGCTCATAAAGCCTATGCTCCAGACCCCTCACCAGCTTTGTCGCCCTTCTTTGAACACGCTCCAGGGCCTCAATGTCTTTCTTGCAGTGAGGGGCCCAAAATGACACAGTACTCGAGGTGCAACCTCACCAGAGCCAAGTACAGGGGAACAATCACTTCCCTGTTCCCGTTCCTGATGCAAGCCAAGATGCCATTGGCCTTCTTGGCCACCTGGGCACACTGCTGGCTCATGTTCAACCAAGCATCAGTCAATACCCCCAGGTCCATTTCCTCTATGCAATCTTCCAGCCACTCTGCCCCAAGCGTGTATCATTGCCTGGGGTTGTTGCGGCCAAAGTGCAGGACCTGGCATTTGGCCTTGTTGAAACTCATCCCATTAAGTGTTCTTAATCTTCAAAATATCCTTCAGACATTAGTAACTTAAGCATGAAATTAATGTAATGTTGGGTTTTTTTTGCATTTTTTTTTTTTTTTTTTTTTTTTGGTGTTTTGTTTCTTTGTTTGTTCCATTTTGCGTGGTTAGAAAAATGTAAAAAGCCTTTATGGAGTATTTCTTTGAAATATATTCTGGACATGTGAAATTTGGTTCTACCTTTGAATTTTGCCATCAAGCCACAGCATCTTATCAGCTGCACACTGGTATGGCCTCACCTCGAGCACTACGTGCAGATTTGGACACCACAATATAAAACAATTAGAACATAGGACTACTAGAAAGCATCCAAATGAGGGCTACAGAGATGGTGAAGGGTCTAGAAGATAAGATGTATGAGGAATGACTGAGATCCCTTGGTTTGTTCAGCTCAGACAGAGGAGGCTGAGAAGAAGCCTCTTGGCATCCTACAGCTCCTCATGATGGGAGCAGAGGGGTAGTGCTGATCTCTGCTCTTTGGTGACAGCAACAGGATCCAAGAGGACAGCATGGAACTGCATCAGGGAAGGTGTCAAGTTGGATGTTAGGAAAAGGTTCTTCACTAGAGGGTGGTTGGGCACTGGAACATTCTCCTCAGCGAAATGTGATGACACCAAGCGTACCAGAAGAGTAGCCTTCAAGAAGAGTTTGACAAGACTCTCAGAATTATGGTTTGAATTTTGGGTAGTTCTGTGTGGAACCAGGAGCTGGACTCAGTGATCCTTATGAGAGCCTTCCAACTCAAGATATTCTATGATTCTGTGATACTTATCATGATGATCCAAGACAATCCCTGTGCACAGTCATAGTATACATTCCTGTTGTCATTTAGAACTGCATCTTTGAAGGATGGACCCTTGTATAGCAGTACATACATAAAATGTAAACAGGTTCATTGTATTCTACAGATTACTGGCATTAAAAAAGCTCCTAGAACATGCAAACAGACAGAACACTGTTTTCTTCAATAAATAAGTCTAATTAGTCTGTGCTGTATAATTAACACATTTTTAAAAAACTTGCATGTTTAGGTTTTGATTCAGTTTAATACTTTTGGAGAAATTTCATGTAACATTTGCATGAACGTTGAAATTTCAGTTTGACCTACATATCCATGGAAATCTCAATTTGATCTTGACAAACTTGCTATGATACTTTGATAATTTGCATTGATGTGATAGATTGAGCTAACCAGAGGCTAGTTATCCATCTCTGCTTCAATTCTTTTTTATATTAGATACAAACACGAAGTGCCTTGAAGTCAGACTTCACAGGCTCTGTCTAACCTTTCCAGTTTTAAAGTGCTACTGAGAAGTTATTAATATTAGAAAGAATTATTTATAGTATAACTTAAGGATTACAGAGAAGAATATGCCTAATACCATACAAGAAAATGAGAAAAAAACAGCCTAATAGTACACATGTACATCTTTGACTCCACTTGAACTTCACAGGAAGAATAGAAATACCATTAAATGAAAGCAAAGAGAAATGAAATGCAGCCCCTAAATACCTAATGCTAATTCCACAGCTCACATTCATTCATAAGCCAGCTCTCTTCAGCAACTTAGATTTCACCTGCAGCCACAATGTTAAGGATCTCAGTGTTCAAAGCCAAACATAATAGCTCTGCAGGTAACTCCTTTGACAATTTGTGGTCTGCAAGACACTTCTTGCAAACCGATGAACTTCAAAAGAACAGTATACCTCTAAGTTTCAAAAGGCAAGTAAGATTTTTGCAAAAAATCATTCTTGGAAGTTGTTAGAAAATCTTCCACTTTTGGACTACAAAAAGAGACAATTAGGAGATCAGAAGTATTGAAATTATTTTTCTCTGCAACATAAAGATAGTCTCGGTAGTAGGTGGTGATATCCATTTCTAAATGCCTCTCTTACTGTATTATATCATTCAAGCTTTTCCTGGCCAAAAGAATTGTTTCTTTTGCTTCCCAAAGTACAGCTTTAGCATGAATGTGGGGAGTACTTTCTACCTAATTTACTGTACTGCAATCTTTTGAGAACACATTTTTGATACCCCTCAGACTAGCAAGGGCATTGATTCAATTTCTTAAATTCTTTTGCTGAATGTTTGAGGAAAAAGAGCAATTACATAGTGACCGGGCAATTTTGGAAGCGTTAATGTCTCTCACAGTGATTTGCACAGGAAGCCACTTAGAGAATGTAGGTGTCAAATCCTGGTGTATGAGGGCACTGTAAAATTCTTCCTGTCAGCTGAGGTATCTATTCATCAGCATGATGTTAGCCCATCCCAAGAGCTGGGCAATTCTTTTTCAAATAGATTCCCAGTAATGTCCTTTACTTTTTATTTAAAAGAGTTAAAGACATTTACAGACAAACATCAGTGAAACTAACTTTAGCATCATACTTCTGGCAGAGATCATCATTCTTTGAAACTAAATCAGTGGAAAAAGAGTTTGCATACATGTTAGCCACTTAATATAAGGCAACAGACTAGATTAAATAAACAGAGAATAGGAGTTTAAACTAACCTGCAGGAGAAAAGGAATATTTTTTCAGCAAAACTGACTGTCAGGATGGTCATCACCAGCTGAACAAGAGCAAACAATTAGAGATGGTGGGGTAACGTGGAAGCTGCAACTGTTTATTATACAAAAGAAAAGCAGAATCCTAATGGAGCATACAACAAGCTCAGGCAATGCAAGGTAGTTCATTACCCCACAGAAATTTGGTGGCATTTGTTTTTGTGCACACAGCTAATCCTCTAGAGTTCTACCTGTGTTTAGGCAATTAGGTACAAGCCGTTTGGCTCTAGGAAGACCAGGCACACAACCAGAGGCACACTGGGAACAGGAGAAGTACCTCATGGTGTTTACTGTACAGTCAGCCACTTCTGAATAACAACTTTACAGGAGTATGACCTCTTCAGAAATACTACTTTAGTCAATGAGCCATTTAAAAAACAAATTATCTTAATTTCAGAAAAGAAAAGACGTAAGATCAGTTGGTTTAAGAAAAGTCTGAACAAATAACTGACATAAATAAACAGATGAAGGCCACTGAATGGGTTAAATTTGTTATGTCCAAGCTGCTGCCAAGTCTTCAGCTAAGAACAGGAAGTTTATTGGCAATTTTCTGAAAGAGGAGGAATTCAGTGATAAAATGTGAGCCATTTGTCTTCCTGGCCATTAAAGGAAATTCACTTTAAGGATGTTTCTGGAGTGGCTGCTGCTGCTGTGCCCATTATAATTTATCAGTGTGTCTGCTGGTAGTATTATCATCAGTAGAGGCTCAGGTGGACTTCCATTAGTGCTATCAAAGTCCTTATTGCCAAAATATTCCACTGACCTAGGCAGGATCTATTACAGCGTTTAAAGTCTCATTTGCCAGGATGTTTTGGGGTTTTTTTTTTTTGCTAATTATTTACAGTTAGTTTGTAATGATGCATTATCTAGGGAAAAGTAGCAACAACAAACATTTAATAAATAATAGTGTGTCAGCCATCATCTTTATTTATTTATAGGTCACATCTTTCTCACCTTTCATCTTCTTCTGTGACATTTAGAATGTAAAATCTCTGGAGAAGGTCCTGTCTTTCACAGGAGTCTTTGAACTTTGTCACAGTACACACATTTAAAATTAATACAGCTATACACAAATGAAACTAAGCACACTTATTTAACCATATTTTATTTTATTTTTATGGCTCTGTTGCTTTGATTTACAGCTGTATTAAATCCATGTGAAGTAATGGAAAGTCAAGCTTGTGTAGTCTGTTTGGCTTCTAAGTCACATACATGTTTGACAGCCTAGAAAGAGGAGGAAGGGATGTAAAATTGACAATCTAAAAAGTACCCAAATTCTGTATTAAATGACAACACATATGGTGTGCTCTACACAACTATAAAAAAGATGCATTATATTATCCTGTTAAAAATGATGACTTGTGTGAAAATGTCATCTGTAATAACAGGCTTAATTTGTAATCACCTGTCCTTTGTGATCTCATATTATTAATACAATTATGATATTAATTGATATTTTATTTGTATCAACAATTACAGATATTGAAGTTACATCCCATAAGGCTTATTCCAATCACACAAAAAAAGACAGTATCTACCCTGAAATTCTTATTTCACGTATTTACTATGAGATATCACTGCTGGGTACAGCAAGCAGAAAGAAAGTTGCATAGGATTATGGTATAAGCACTTCTATAGGTTAGTAAGCAACTATCACAACTATTGCCTACAAGATTATGTTTTTGCAAGTGTGATTTATGGCTCTCTTTTTTCCTTCCTCCCAACTTATCTTTGATCGTTTTAGCATTTGTTTTTTCCTACTTAGTCCTTTAATGCGGTTGACAAGGTTAGTGAAAACAATCCACTGTGATCAAATGCAGTTATTGCCTTTTGATAGCCCTTGATCACTCACTGAACTTACAAGACAGTTAGGTAAAGTTGCTTGGTTTATATCACTTTTTGACGGATTCACTAAAGACTTTATAGCCCACCTCTGAAAGCACACTCATCAAGTCCAAAGATGGAAAAAATTGCAGTTTACCTCTGCAGCTAAATCAGTTAAGCTGTCAAGATAGGAAAGATAGGCTATATTCTGTTAAAAGTTAACTAAGTGTGAATACAATTTTCCTACACATTTTGAATAATATATTGTTCAATATTTTAAACACACTTTGTCTCCTGTTTTTTCGATTGCTATTTTTTAGGATGATGTACTGTATCTGGCTGGAATAGAGTTGACTTTCCCCACAGCAGTCCATACCGTCCTGTGCTTTGCACTTGTAACTAGAACAGCATTGATATTGCAACCATGTTTTGTCTACTGCTGAGCAATTACCAGCACAGACAGCTTCAAGAATCTCTCCACTCCACTCCTCCAGATATAGTAGGCTGAGGATGAGCAAGAGATGGGGAAAGGACAACTGATCCCAACTGATCAAAGGGATATTCCATACCTTATGGTAACATGCTCAGTAATAAAACCTGATATAAGAACGGGAGAAGTGTAGATTCTTACTGTGAAAACACTGATCCCCTTGAGCAACTGCTATATGCATTGAAGCCCTGCTTAAGCATCTGAATGTCACTTTTTGATGTAAGAAACAATGTAATAATAATTTTTCTCCTGTTTTGTTGTTGTGGTTTTGTTTTGTTTATGTTTCATTAAATTACTCCTATTTCAAACCTGAAAGTTTTTTGTTTTGTATTGTTTTGTTCATCGTATTTTTCCCCCTGTACTGTTGAAGAGAGAGTGAGAGAGCAGCACGTCAAAGGTAAGCTGCCTATTGGTTGTTTAAGCACTACAGATGATAAATTACATAAACAATGTATTGAATTTATATTCTTTGAAATGTAAAATAACAGATAGCATTGGCAGTGTTAGTTTTGTGTCTCTACATAGGTTGACATTTGAAATTTGAGAGATGAGAGTGCACACAGTAATACCATACTAAAACTTCATCTTAGTAATGAATATTACTGATAAGACATTTCAGAGGACTTCCAAGGAAGTTGTGGCTTAGCTCTCGATAGACAACACTGTTATTCCCACTTAACATGCAGAGTGAAGTCAGCATAGCTGAGTTTTAGATAGCCATGGACTGATAGATATATAGACAAATAAATAAATCATGGTGAAGTCGTGGTGAAGGTTACATGATTTGAGGTGTGACTTGGTAAAGTCATACAAAATCCAAATGAACATATGTTCACTTGCAAGTTTGGATTGGAGGAAACAACTTCTCAAATTGCAGCACTTGAACAAAGTTATCAGCTGTATGTGCACAAGACGGTTCCTAAGAACTCTAGATTGCAAGTTCTGATTGTTTAAGAATCTACTGCATACAACTGTCTACCCTGCTCCTGTGGGCTACTATCACAGGGGAAAAATGTCAACAGGATGAGTAGCATGTCTGTACCTCAGTTTTCTGTTTACCATTTCTGTGTCGAGACTGGCATTCACTATTATTAGTGTCAAGTTTTATGATAAAATGTTACTTTTATACAATAGGCTGTGTGTGAATGAGGCAAACAGCTCTCAATTATGAATTCCTTTGGACTTATCTGAATTAACAATGCGGTGATTACATTATTGCTGTAGACACATTTTAAATCTTTTGGAATCAAGTCTTTGCCTGTCACAAATACAACCTGTGACAGTCCGACAACATAAAGGAATTGAATCATATTTTTAATGCAGAAATATTTTGGTACAAGCAATCACTGACCTTCTGCCAGCGCCAGATTTCATGAAGGGGTGTTGGAGGTGGAAGGGACTTGAACAGTAGGCAGTGAGTGACTCTACCTGAAAGAGCAGATACTTGGACAAGTCTGTCTGTCTGTAGAGACAGTGCAAGCCCTTAGGCTCTACTAGAAGCCAGCTAGTTCCAGCTAGGATCAAAAATCCAATTTATATGTTGAGTAATGCGAATGGAATGGATGTGCCATGTATGTCTACTATTTGTTTCGAGAGTGTAATTTCAGCCATAGGTAACTTTTCTTTTTAAGACACAGACAAGAAAACCAAAGACAATAACAGATTTGCTGTTTTGCCACAAACTTTGTAATTATTTATATATTTATTTATTTATTAAATGGCTTGTTCTTTTTAATTTCACTTGTCCCAGCTGAGAACTCAGATTTATGAGGGCTGCTCTGAAAGGAATGCCTCCTATTTTATTACGTTGACTCACAGTGTCAGAGGTGGGTGCTTATGGTATGACTTCCTACCAGTATTCTGTTACATTTTTTTGCTTTGCAATGGATGGCAGCAGAGAGAGAATCTGACAAAATGACATCTGACATAGAAGAGTGGATCAAGAAGGTGGTGAAGAATTGAATTCCTTCATACATTAAAAATTGCACCCACTGATATTCATTGATGTCTGCCGGATGTGTTTGGAGATCAAACAGTGGATGTGAACATGGTGAGGTGGCAGGTAGTGCATTTCAGCAGTGGCAACAGCATCAGTGGGTCACTTCCATTGGTGCAGATTTTTACTAGTGCAGCATGCAGGCTGTTGGTTATCGCTGTTGAAAATGCACAGGTAATGATGATGACTGTTTTGAAAAATATTGTTTTGTAGATGAGAATTTGCTCTGTCAAACAGCGTCATTGTGCTCTTTATATCTGTTGCATTTTCAGTTGAAGTAAATATGAGGCATTGCTTTCGGAGCAACCTACATATAAACAAAGTTATTAAAATAATCTTATTTGAACCAGTTTTATATTTCCCAGAAGATGACTAACTTAATAACATACAGAACGCAATAAATGTGAGTCAATTGACCTAAAAACATTTGAACTTCCAGAAAATACACATATTTTTTGACATGTTATACTTTTTTCTGTATATGGACAATAAAGAAAATGGAAAATATATCTATCAGTATACAAAAAAAGAATTTCCAATCTATTAGAATCCTTTGGATATTTATTTTTAATAAATAAAGTTTTGACATTTAATTTATTGTGACTTAGTCAAATATTTGGTAGAAGGTAATTAAGGGCAATTAATTATCAAAGAATGAAGTATGCTGTTGCTGCCTTACATAAAATTATGTACAGATATTTATTAAACTGACACTTTGGAAAAACCTTGTCAGTATTAAAGCCAATACCAAACTGTAGTTAGTGCAAGTGGCCATTTTACCTAGTACCGAAAAGAAGAAAAAGATTATTTTCTCTCTATCTATCTCATATGGGCCATACATTCCTGGGTAGTAATTATTCTGTATAATAATTATTTCCATTCAATAATTATTTCCGTTCAAAATACTTGAGATTTAGATAATATTTGCAAAGCATGGTATATGCTTAATGACATTATAGTCCCTCTCTCCTATGACCTAACAAGCTAGTGAAGAGTAGTGCGAAGATTCCCGTTGACTTTAGCACACTATACATTGTTCCACTGATTGGACTGGAATGTTTGATCATTTAACAATGCATGCTTTGGACTGCATATCCAACATGCAGCAAGGAAGAAAGCTTTCTTCCTGACAGATAATGAATAATAATACTTCAAATATTGTCACTTCTTTTATTGTGTCTGTCAAAAAAAAAAAAAAAAAAAAAAAAAGAATATACAAATGATTTTCTGTAATACAATGTCATTCATTCTGGATAAAATAAATTATTCACCATCAGACATACTGTTGTGCCCTTTGAAATATTCTTCTGGTATGGAGAACACTTTATAAAAATAAAAAACAATAATTATTAATTAATATTCATGGTAGAGATTCTGTGACAATGAAACTAAATATGTCCCAAATCTGAAGGTTGGATAAAGTGAACTCTGGGATGCTCACCTAGTCACTCTTAGATGATTCAATAATTATTACTCCTGTAATGCAAATTTCATTTTTACTTTTCAGTTGTACTCTTTATCAAAATTTTCCAAAAGCTCCAACAAAGTATAATGTCAAAACAGCTTTGTTTGTTTGTTTGTTTTGTTTGTTTGTTTGCTTTTAAACCATTGTCTGTTATCTCTGGTAATTAGCAATCAAGGTTGAAATTGAACAAATTTATAAATATTTATGACTTAAGTAATGAAAATGAATGGAAAGAAGTTCATCCACACCATCACAGGAAAAGCCCCTCCCTACCTACCAACTCACCTTCCCAGGATCCCTTACATGATAGATTTGAGGCTTTGGAATGTGAAGGATGGGTAAATGAGGAAGCAATGGAAGGAGCACCCAGGACATTGCCTAAGGCAAGGCAATTGACTCCACACCTCCATCTCGAGATTACTTCCATCAAGAAGGAAAGAAGGGTAATTGTTGACTTTCTTCTGAAGGGAATGGAGGACCCCATATGTTGGCCTGACCTCACCCGAAGGGAAGTGTATTATCTCCCTGGGGCCCAGATCAGGGATATTGCCAGAAAGCTTCCTTGTCTGGTTTGTCCCTCTGATAACTATCACTTGCTGACAGTTTAGGCTGGCAGTGATTAAGTTGCTGAGAGAAGCCTGAGGGCTATCAAAAGGGACTTCAGGGCATTGGTCCAGAGGGGAAGAAGACCAGCATGGCTGAACAGGAAAATCTTTCTGAGACTCCAGGAGAAAAAGAGTGTTTACCTCCTTTGGAAAAGGGCACAGAAAAATCGGGGAGAGTACAAGGAATTTGCTAGCATATACAAGGAGAAAATTGGGGAGGAAAAAAACTAGCATGAGCTTTAGCTGGCTCCATCCTTTACTGAATGTGGTGGGGAACATGAACACTGAGGTTAAGGAAAAGACTGAGGTTCTCAGTGCCTTCTTTACATCTGTAGTTAATACTTAGGACAGTTATCCTTGGAATACTCAGCCTCCTGACCTGGAAGTCTGGGATGGGGAATGGAACAAACCTCCATTACTCAGGTGGAAACAGTTAGAGACCTACTACTCTACCTGGACTATCAGAAGTCCATGGGGACAGATAGGATCCACCAGAGGGTGCTGAAGGATCTGGCGGACATGATTGCCAAGCCGCTTTCCACTGTCTATCAGCATTCCTGGTCAACCAGAGAGGTCCTAGATGATTGAAGACTTGCTAATGTGACAATCAACTATAAGAAGGGTAATAAGGAGGATCCAGGGATCTACAGGCCTGTCAGCCTGACCTTGGTGACAGGAAAGATGATGTAACAGATCATCATGAATGAGATCACAAGGCATGTATGGAACAACAAAGGATCAGGCCCAGCCAGCATGGGCTCATGAAAGGCAGGTCCTGCTTGACCAGTCTCATCACCTTCTATGACTGGGTGACCCACTTTGTTATTGAGGAAAAGGCTATTGACATAATCAACCTAGACTTCAGCAAAATCTTTGACACTCTATCCCACAATATTCTTCTGGGGAAGTTGGCAGCCTGTGGCTTGGACAGGTACTCTTTGCAGGGTAAAGAACTGGCTGAAGGGCTTGATCCAGAGAGTGGTCATGAGCAGAGCTAAATCCAGCTGGTGACTGATCACAAGTGCTATTCCCCAGGGGTGGTACTGGGGCCTGTCTTGTATAATATCTTTACTAATATCAATCCCCTGGACAAGGGGATTGAGGGCACTCTCAGTAAGTTTTCAGATTGCACCAAGCTGAGAGGAAGTGTCATTCTACCTGAGGGTAGGAAGGCCCTTCAGAACAATCTGGACAGGCTGGATCACTGGGTTGAGGCCAATGGGATGAAGGTCCTGCTTGTTGGGTCCTGCTCTTTGGCCACAACAACCCAAGGCAATGCTATAGTCCTGGAACAGTGGCTGAAAGACTCTGTGGAAGAAATGGACTTGGGGGTGTTGGTCTGAACATGGTTGATCTTGGCTGAACATGAGCCAGCAGTGTGCTCAGGCAGCCAAGAAGGCCAGTGGCATCCTGACTTGCATCAGAAATAGTGCTGCCAGCAGGAGAGCAGGGAAGAGATTGGTCCCGGTATTCAGCTCAGGTGAGGCCACACCTCAAGTACTGTATTCAGCCTTGGGCCCCTCACTGCAAGAAGGACATTAAAGCCTTTGGGAGTTTACAGAGAAGGGCAACAAAGCTGGTGAGGAGTCTGGAGCATAAGTCCTGTGAGGAGCAGCTAAAGAAACTGGGTTTAGTCTGCAGAAGACAAGGCTCAGGGGAGACCTTATCACTCTCTACAACTATGTGAAAGGAGGTGGTGATGAGCAGACAGTGTGTCTCTTCTCTGAGGTAAGCAATGATAGGAATAGAGAGAATGGCCTCAAGTTGTACCTGGGGAGGTTAACATCAGCTATTAGAAAGAATTTCTTCTCTGGAAGAGTGGTCGTGCTGGAACAGATTGTATAGGGAAGCAGTGGAGTCACTGTCCCTGGAGCTGTTTAAGGAAAGCATAGATACAGTATTTAGGGACATGGTTTAGTGGGCAGTATACATTGTAGATGGGTGACTGGGCTAGATTATCTTAGAAATCTTTTCCAACCTTAATGATTCTATGATTCCACTGATTTGGAATGACCTTTTTAGATGAATAGATACAGAGAATTTAAATCTCTGTAGTATCCTTGGCATTCTGTATGAAAGAACAGTGCATGTCACTGAAACACCGAGAAAAATATGTAATTCCAGTTCTTGAGTCTGCTTGTTATTAGAGCGTTGTAGTATATTTCCCCTAAAATTAAAAAGTAATTGTATTGTTCACACATGATCATCAAACACCATGTGTAGATATTTAATTGTGTGTACATGTAAAAATATTTGCAGTGCATTAAAATAAAATCCTCAGAAATATTTTAATCTATAATCTTCACTTAGAAGCTTTCAAAATTTGTTTGACTACTGGTGAAACAATCTCATTTGCTCCAATACTGTCCTATTACATAGAGTATACAGGACACTGTTACTGATTAGTATGTGCAGAGATTAAGTCAAACAAAAGACAGTTTCCACTCTCTGTTCATGGAATCATAGAACTGTTTGAGTTGGAAGGGACCCTTATAGGCCACTTAGTCAAACGCCCCTGCAATGAACAGGAATCCTAGATAGGGTTACTCAGTGTCCCACCCAGCCTGACCTTGAATGTCTCCAGGGATGAGGTGTCCACCACTTCTCTGGGCAGCCTGTTCCAGTGCTGTACTACTCTTGTCCCTGTTCTTTGGCAGCGATATAAGAAAATAAAATATTTACTTTTCTGTTAGTCAAATGGATTAGAGAATGGTCACAGCATATTTCAGATTCTCAGATCAGAAATATCAACCTAAACTTGATAGGTACACGGAAACAGCTTTGTGAAGTCAAGTGGCTTATTTGAAGTTCATGCTTCCATTATAAATACTAACTTTGTGAGCTATTGCATTTATTTGATTATCAAACATGTTCTTCTCTACTTAGATTATAAACCAGCTCTTCAGGGCAAAAGCTTGCTTCTTAGCCATATTTGTTCAGCACAAGTGTGCTTGGTTTTGCCTACCCTTCCAACTAATAAATAGAACATTGTGAAAGGTAAAGGAAAACATTAGTTGGGACAAAATTGAATGTAATTGCATTACACTATCAGAAGGAACTCTCAAATCAAAAATAAGGTCAACATGCTAGGTATTGTACAAGAACAAACAAATTCTGTTATTGAATTGGACAAGTAAGATGAACAGATATTGGTGTATATCATACACACATTCTGAATGTATCTTACATGTCAGTAATACTATGGACATGTTCCCTGTAATTACTGTCAAGTGCCTTATGAAGACAGTATCTGATATTTTAGTAATATTAAGATGGAAACTTTAAAACTTTTACTTTGTATTTTTAAATTTTTTTTGTGTGACATAATCTTCAAGAATTAAAAGCAGTTATGCTCATTAAAGATACATAAAAGTATGTGTGGATATAAACTCACAATCACACATAAAGTTGTTTTAATTTTGAATGTATCATAACGTAGCTATTCTGAATCATTTCTTACGGTGTTGTGTCTCTGTCACTTTGGTTACTCAAGGTTCAAAGTTAAGTAATGACTGTGGAGAACCAACGAGACAAAAATCCAGTTAATGTTGGTTGGTAGAAAAAAGAAATTGTTTAGAAGGTATGCTAAGAATTCAGCCCTTGGAAGAAGATATGTGTTTGACTGATAAGTTTGTATTTTTCAGACACGCACATGCACACACACATACAAAAGGCTATAGGAAGGAAAATACTTTTCTTTCAGTTTTATGTATCTTTTCTTCTGAATACTAACTTTGCAGACTTTTGACTTTAATTCTGAAATTAGACTATGACAATGAATGCATCTTACAGCTAGGGAATTTCAGGTGGTCTAAAATGTGCTATCCTAATTGTATAATAATACATTCTTTCTTAAGAACATTAATTCTTTTATTATTATTATTATTACTTTTTTTTTTTTTTTTTTTTTTTTTTTTTTTTTTTTTTTTTTTTTTTTTTTTTTTTTTTAATGGTTGCATTTGAGTTGGGTGCAAGAGCAACCTGATTTTGGAAACTTTGAGAAAGATTTTGGAAAGTTTGGGAAAGATTTTAAAATCTCTTTCTAACTTCATAAATCTTCAAAATGTACTATGAATTCCCATAAGCTTTGGAATGTATCCAAATATTTTTCTCCTCAAGCCCTGCCCAGAAACAATAACTGTGTGCAATTTTTGGACCAATCTCTCTGCAAATTACTGACTAGGAAAATGTTATTAGTTGGACATACTCTATTCTTATTTAGCAGATTTCAAGTCATGTAATCAGCACTAGCTGTTAAAAAAACTTGGCAATTAGTTTCTGAAACTTATCTTCCTGATGTTTCCATGAAGATATGCTAATAGAAATACAGGCTAGAAACAGAAATGAGAAGACACCATGAGGAAAAATTAGAACTGAAAGCATTGTTAAAGTCTCTAAAAGCCTCTAAAAATATCGCATTTCTATAGTTTTTGCATTGCATTGTGTTTGTTACAGCAAAAGTATCAGTCAGACATGATCTTCTTCCAGCAGGGTACTTGGCAAACTCTGGACAAGGATCATGTATGTGGAAACTGTAGCAGCAGAAAGGAATTTCTTATAGAGTACTCCTTCACAGAATGTCTCACTCCAATTAAAGGAGTGAGATGAGTTTCTTTTGTTATATGTGTACAAAATAACAAGATTAAGACACAGTGGGTCAAATGTTAGCCTGACCAGTTTATTACAAATTGCTAAGGGAGATGGGGAAGGAAAGACAGGTGATAGAAAAGAGATAGGAAATAAAAGCAAGGAGTCTTTATAGAAAGCAAGACATCTAGTCACCACCGTGATTCCAGGATTGCTTGTAGGATTTTCATTGATCTTAGGAACTCACCACAGGGGATGGGAGAAAGCTAGGAAGCTTAGCAGCAAGCAGGCTCTGGGGGGTTCTTTCATAAGAGTTTTTCTTTTTTCAGGGGTTTCCTCCATCAAAAGTTTCTTTTCTTTGGGAGTTCTTCTCCTCCAAACTACTTAGTTTTGTGGGGACCTTTTATCCCCCACTTCTCAGTTTCTTTTTTTCTTCTCCTTTTCATTCTGTTAGCGTGACACACCTGGCCCAACAGGGAAGCCAGCAAAGAGTGGTGCCTTTGGTGCCATGTGCAAGCTCCTTCAAGCCGTCCCCCAAAGAAGACTGCTTGTCCTGCATCTTTTATCTTTACAGTCATGAGTAGAAGTATTGTGGCACAGTGACACCCACCACTCACCCCCCTAGATAATTCACATTTGTCAGTTAGAGTCTTATCACAAAAAAAAAAAGGACTCTCAAAGTGAGTTTTCAGCCAAGCTGAGCTGAGTTCACAAAACACAGAATCACAGAATTGCAGGGATTGGAAGGAACTTCTAGAGATCACTGAGTCCAACCTCCCTGCGAAACAGGCCGCCTACAACAGGATGCACAGGTAGGTGTTCAGATAGGTCTTGAATATCACCAGTGTAGGACACCCCACAGCCTCTCTGGGCAGCCTGTTCCAGTGCTCTGTCACTTTCACTGCAAAGAAGTTTCTTCACATATTGATGTGGAACTTCCTATGCTCCAGTTTATGGCTGTTTCCCGTTGGCTTGTCCCCACAGATTGCTGAAAAGAGGTTGGCCATGTCTCTTTGATTCCCACACTTAAGATATTTATAAACATTAATAAGATCCCTTTCTTTGGACATTGTAGACAACTAGAATCC